CCCCAAAACCCCAAAACCCCATGATAGGGAATTTGAATAAACATAGAAGTCTACTAAATAAATCGAAAATAATATTCACACATTATATAAATGAAGAAATTATAATCCCTTGTGTAGTTTTTATGCATTTTAGCATTTATCTCATAATAAAGCTGTGCAATCTTCAAGATAGCTGACTAAGAACATTAGTTATCTAAAATAAGTCGTGGAAGAGATGCTCAAGAACATACTTTAAATAGTCAACTATTGAATGAGAGAAACTTAAAATTTGAACAAGCAATTAATATCAAATTTGAAGACTCATCATAATAGCATTTACGTAATAATATGTAAGTGAAATCAATCGAAAAATAGAATAAAATCTTGAAAGATATTCAAATCTAAGATTTTTCTGATGAGCTAGCACTTAATAATAACCTAGTAAAGTAGTAACTGAAAGTACTTAGAAGATCCCTAGATGTGGCATGGAATCCAAAGCCCATCATAGATTTTCAAAGTTTAGGAACCTCTCCAATTTGGAATGCAAACAACTCGACAAATTCCTCTAATAGCACTGTGTAAAATAGTACAAATAAAGCTAATGCCACAACTAACTCTAGCATTAAAGCGAATACTAGCTCTAACACCTCTATTAAAAATAATGTTACTACAAATGCTACTACAAATAGCAGTTCAAATAATTCATCTACCAAAAATAATAGCACAGCAACTTCAAACATTACTTCTAATGCAACAAAATCGAATACGACCAATGCCTCAGCAAATTCAAATAAAACCAATACATCTACTCCTAGTACAAGTTCCAGCACCTAAACTAATAGTAATAGTAATAAGAGTAGTGCAAGTTCAACTTGGTCTGTTATTACTAGTATCAATATGTATGATTTCGCTTCTACGATGAATAATCAAACTGTAAACTATGATAAAAATGGGAAATAAATCATTAATTCTGCTGAATCTCAGTCTTAATCATCATCAACTACTAATGCTAATTTAATTTCCTAGGTAGTAGAACCCGTAATTGAAGGATAAAACTAGACTGCTGGGAGTTCAAGTGATTCAGATCTGTAGTAGTCAACTAAATTGATTCTATATATTAGTATTCCTGTCGGAGCATTATTCATAATTGCTTTGACTATTATCTATTGCATAATGAGAAGGAGAATAGGTATTATCAGAAGATGGAAGAAGATTAGAAAGTCTCAAGAAAAAGTACATCCTTAATTCAATTCCACAATGAATAAAATATCTGAGAGAACGAAGTCTAAAAAGGACTATCAATTAGATGATGTTACGAATGAAGAGGAGCAGATGCAAAAGAATTTGGATATAAGTGTTATTATGAATGTTGATAACAGCTAGACTGCAATCCAACATGCTAAAAGAATTTAATGCAAGCCAAATATTGCCTACTTAAAAGATTAGTATGTTGAATAGAAGTCTAATGCAATGAAGACCATAGTTTATCATGATGGAATAAGTCCCCATGCAATTGTAAATCCAGACGTTACACCTTAGTCTTTTATAGATCCTAAAGAGCTTACTAGATATTGGTGAATAGAGTATTTAAAATGAGAATATAAAACTCCTTCTGAGAGATATGAAATTTATACTTATCAAGATCATAAAATAAATGGAAATATTGAGTCCCTAAGATAATTTTCTTTACAATAATTAATATTCTTTCCCTGTCAAGTTTCATTTAAATGTATAGAGAAATGAGGGGTTTTGGGGTTTTGGGGTTTTGGGGTTTTGGGG